TGTTCCATTCTTCAGAAAGTTCTGACACGGCGGATATAGAATACTGAATCCGGAGGGTTGAATCCCTGTCCACTTACTGGTGATTTTCCGTTTTGAAATGCGTGAAACATTGTTTATTTTAAATTAAATGACATTTCGCAGGCTAGAGTTCTCCCCGAAAATGATGTGTTCCAGACGTTAGTTAGACGATAGATAAAACATTGGATTAATAATTTTCGTGACGCCCCGTTTTCGAAAATACAAAGTTATATCGCAAAAAAATGCGTTATGATACATTTGAAATGAAACATTATTTACGGTTAATTCAGATCATATTTTACTCTTCATGACACCCGGTATCCGAAAATACAGTTGTATCTCGAAAAATGTGTTTTGTTACATTTAAAATAAAACATTTTTGCGATTAATTTAGATCATATTTTACTTTCCACGACACCCGTTTCCGAAAATACAAGGTTATATCGCGAAAATGTGTTTTGTTACATTAAAAATAAAACATTTTTGGGATTAATTCAGATCATATTTGACTTTTCAGGACACCCGTTTTCGAAAATACAAGGTTATATCGCAAAATGTGTTTTGTTACATTTAAAATAAAACATTTTTGCGATTAATTTAGATCAAATTTTACCTTTCACAGCAACCCGTTTCCGAAAATACAAAGTTATATCACAAAAAAATGCGTTTTGTTACATTTATTTTGCATTCCCAATAAAGTACATATTTTCCCTAATTAAGGTCGTCCATGAATCTGTTTCTGTCGTTCAAGCTTGACACACGTTTGGACGAGTGTGGGGCGGTTTTTTGGTCGACGATAAATTAAAAAGTTGCCACACGTTATTTGTATAACGATAATAACTGAAAATTAAGATTTTATAATAGAAGTGAATTTGTCTCAAGATGGTATTTTACGATTCCCGCCCACAGAAAATAAACACGCTGACAGGCTTGGTTCTAATTGATATTCTTTAATTTATTTTACACTATTAATAAACGCGCCACACCAATTGCTACCATATAAATTGCAGTCGCATCGGTATGGACTGTATGTTTTTGGCGCTCTCACATTAATAATAATTTTCAACAAAACAATACCCCGACGGTCATTAAAGCTGAATTCGTTACCGAATAATTCATAATTTTATTTACGGAATTTGCAATTTCAAGATCTCACTTGACGATTTTGATGATGTAATGCCCTAATTATTACTGCTTAAATGCCTCAAAATACAACAAATGTAATCATTTTCGACGATAACAGGCGCAACAATTCGTAAACGAGCCGAGCCGAAATTCGCGATTGATTTTACCTCTCTCTTGTTTACAATTTTAACATCCCGCCGGCCATGTATGGTCGAATAAAATGTTCACATATTCGAAACATGATTTGGCCAAGGATGGAAGGGATCACTAAAGAGCTAATAGAAAGTACATACGCGAGGGTATGATATTATTATCGAGAATATTTGTGTGCATATCACAGGACGGAAATATTTTGCACCCGGCTGTTTGTTGGCAGAACAACGTTACGCTAAAGTTAATTGATCGAATACAGGGAAGTATTTATTTATCATCTAACTTGCGAACATCGAGGTTTTGGCGGAATTGTACGATCATGTGGTCTTTCTTAAATAATAACTTTTTCAATAAATGTTCATTTTACTTTTGCGTCTTTATTATATGTCGGGTTTTCATTTATTTTAAATTCGAAATTGTCCGAAATACTCCAACAGGTGTATAAGTACAATAATAATGATACTTACCAAAGTACTTACCAGGAAGTTTAATACACACGATGTGTAAAGGGCGTCGTAACTCCCGTTTATTAATTATAATTTTTTTTACATTCATTTTTTTTACATACATTACATTTTTTACATTATTTATCAAATGGATTGGTATTTCGAGACACTCAAAATTATTTGGGATCCACTATCATATCATTCGTTTATTCTTTATAGTCATGTTTTTCTCAAGAATCACCCTCGTTATATTTAGTGTACCTTCGCAAAAGAAAACTCTTTGGTGTCATCGTTCCTATTAGTGTAATTTAAATATATGGAAACCTTGCAAGTGGCGTTGTGATGCGAATATTTGATACTAGGTCAGCAGCATTACAAAGAGTGCTATTTATGAATGCTGAAAGTACATGGCATTACTAAACATTTTGCCAATATATGATGTTTTCTGCCCGATTTAAACTAACTCGCACAAAAACCAAGGCATGTCGACATTTAAAAAATACTTGTCTTTGGGTAAGCTCTGAAATAGTATAATATAAATGTAAATGAGAAATTAGGTCACGCTAGCTCACGAAACCAGAGGATTTTCAAAGTGATCTTGTGTAATATTTCGGAGAAAAAAGTTTGAAAGGAAAGTAGGTCAACCTATCTCCTAAAACAGGGGAGTACCCTGAGTAATATTTCGGAAGGAATGTAGGTTAACCTATCTTTTGAAACAGCGGGTGGCGACTTTCAAAGAGGTTCAAAATCACAAATTAATAATTGTCAGATTAGGTTTAGGGATAAATCGAAAAGTTGAATTTCCAGCGCACCTAACCCTAATTAATTGATTGCTATTTATATTTTTTTGGGGGGGGGGGGGGGGGAATTATTTTGCTCGGGATTTGTACAAACGATCCACCCTGTAACTAATATGGTTTCCAGCCTGCCTCGTGTCTGTTAGATGGAAGGAGTAACAAATGTGAAAGTCTTTGCTGTTTACGCGAGTAAGCAACTGACACCGTGATACATTGCATGAAAGTTTTGTCCACAGCAGGTGTTAGCAGGTGTCATTTCGTTGACGATGAATTCGCTTGTTTTAATTAAACATGAATTCGCTTAAAGGGAACTCGGTTAACGAAAAGGCTTCGCTTTAACCCTGCTAAAACGCTTAAAAACAGTGAAAAACCGTCAAAAAACACCAATAACCCTGCTAAAACGCTTAATTCATAATATTAACCGGAAGAGCGCTTTTTCGAGTATCTATGCCATTTTAAATGGGTTATATGAAAGGCTAGGGCACCTAACTTGTTAAAATCGGCAAAAGCACTTTCGCACTTTTTTTTTCGACTGCGAAGCACTTTCGCACTCATAATTTGCTTAGAGTTAACACTGTTCTCGAGTCTAGTTTATTTTCCAGTAAAGACGTAACAGTCAAGCGCCAACATAGTACACAAACATACGTTATTTTACAGTAAAACACGCACACCAGCACGGCCGCACATTTCACCTTCGAGGGCCGCAGGTTGTGCACCCCTGCTCTACGCCCATGGAGTTAAACATGCGTTGCAGGGGTCATAACCCCAGTTTGAAACTTTTTTATACGTATGTTCTTCCATCTTCATATAAAAAAACTATTTTATTAATTAGTGCATTATCACCTTAACATAAATTATTAAAACAGCCAGAATTTGAAGCAAGTTTGAGATACATTATTGATGTAAGTGATGTATATTTTGAAATGTTCCTTACACATCGCACCATCTATATTAATTGCCAAGAGATGGCACTGGGTTCACACATCGCATAACAGGTGGCACAGGATTGGCTGGAGTAAGCTTTTTGCGGTACATTTGGTTATTAATTATTACAGCTTCACAATAACTCTCAAATTTTCCAACATAACTGAAAATTAATGCTTAAATTAAGTGGAAACCTTGCAAAGGAATGGTGGCAATGTTCACCATGTAGCGTGCAAGAATGTTGTAACAAGAAGCGCTGTGTGCTGGCACATAAGATAACAAACAATGTAAGGCAGATTCTATCTCATCATCATAACAACACATGACGAAGCGCAGAAAATCAATCGACGATTTTCCTTGAAAACAAAACGCATTGATGACGGCGAAAAGTGGCTGGTATTCTAAAATTAGCTGAAAAAGTATTTGAATACTTTGATATTCGATTCATTTCAGATAACCCTGCTTGTGGCCAAAAAAACTTTTGCCGGTACACGTTTCTTTACTGTTCCTTTCAGCGCACTGTTAATAATGCTGTAATTTGGTATGTAATGCTCATATATCATAAGTTCCCAAACTTTTCAAAATCACAACGCAAATTTTTAATACAGGTCATGACATTTCAAAAAAAAATTTAACTTTATTTTTAATGATAGTTTGACAAAAGGCCGGTTATAATTACGGTAACAATACATTACAAGGAGGAGTTTTACGATAAATGCACATTTATGCGAAGTTCTAATAGCGCGCATATATATAAGATTTTTAGAAAATGGATTAATATTTCTCCAGGCTGCGCTTCTGAAATACTAAGTGGAATACTTAGGCCAAAAATATTATTCTAATATCTTTTGGATTATCAATAGTTGGTTCAGGGAATTATTTTCAAGATAGACAAAATTGAGTGGTATTGCAGTAAATTAAAAAAAAACTACAGATTATGTTTATTTGAAGACTTATGCTGTTAACTTACACTTACAAATGAACAACACAACTTAATTGTTACTAGCTTATTTGAATGACATTGTGCACAAATAACAATAAAACGCAAGTGTCAAATTATAAGTCTCTTGTGATCTGCCAACACATGTTCTGCCTCTTGTAAATGTCATCAGCAAATTTATTTTAGTAGTTGACATCATGGGAAATGTAATTTGACCCTTTGAGTGTCTACTTAAACTAAATCTAACCAAAAGATGAATGTACAATGTAGGCAGTATGATTTGTATTATGATAGCATACAATTTCATTTGAGCATTGTTGATGTGACAAATATTGGTGCCAGGTAGAAGAAATGGTCTGGCATATACTTTGTTCACCATAATATATTTTGGCTATCCAACCTTATTACTACAATAATTTTGAAACATTCCACGCTTTCTGAATAGGTCATTAGTTAAAAGGTCTTACCGGTACTTCAGGTTAGTTAGGCAATTAGCCATTAGTCATTTTTAAAAATGACAAACTGATCCTGAACTTGTATACATGACAAGTCTTAACTATAATATAATTATTGCAGTATTAAGAAATAAGAACATACCTTCAGAAACATCATTTGTTATTTTAGGTGTCTCGTGATGGGAAAGTTCCAAATTATTTTGTGGGAATTTCCTCATATTAATTTCTTCAATCCTACAATCTTCATTCAGCAAAGCAGGCTTAGAGTATGTCTTTTCAACAGAGCCTAAATCACAACTTGAGTGATCGTTATAACTATTTGTTCTTGAACATACTTTGGTTTCATTTGATTCCGATATAATATTTACAGCATTCTTTGATGAAATGTCCTTTTCCAATGCATTTGTATGATCTGTATTATTTACTGCAATACGAATCTTGTATGGGGAAAGTTTGTCTGAATCAGACTGTATTGTAGGCAATTCCTTATAATTATTTTTCTGTAATATTTGTGATTTATCGCCAATAATTAATGAAGTCTGGTCATTACAGTTACTCAATGACACTAATTCCATGTCGTGCTCAGTTTTTGCATCTATATTTTGGATCCTAGAAAAGCTTTTTTCATTATCAGCCCTTTCATTAATGTTTGGTAGATGACCTTCTGAAATATTGACAGTATCCTCGTTTAAAACCATTTTTCCGCCAGAATGCTGACTGTAAATATACGGAGATTCATTGGAGTAACTTTTGATCACAGGGACACAACAAGATTTTTCACCACCTAGCAATAGTTGTTTGTTGTAGCCGTTTGGAAGTGGTTCGCGAGTTTTCACAGTATTTCCTTTCGATTTGTCATCTTCTGTACGCATACATCCATTTTGCGCTGGTTCTGCTGTGCTTTTCGTAGCGTTGGTACGTCTCCCGACTCCGAAACATCTCGTAAGACACCGCGTGAAGCAGTGAATTGACGAAGTTTCTGTCATGTCGTAATGGCAGTGTACAATCATTCGAAGTTTTAATCAGTTATAAATTATATTATAAGGATTATGAATAATATTATTTCAATTTTCTGCAAGACAGAATATCTGAGCTTAGGTTAGTGCCTGTCACCGCATTCACTATGGAACTACACATTCTTCATCCAGCCCAATCAAGAATTCTTCAAGGGATTTCACAGTGATCGTTTAAATACACCCTTCTTTACATTTTCATAGATTAAGATTGTTGCATTTTGCCATAATATCATTTTGAAAACTAGTAAACGTTTTTTTTCAGTAACTTCAGTTACATGGAATTCGCTACCCCATATAGTTATTTTTCAGATTGTGTTGAAATGAACTGTTCCCATCAATCTGCATGCAGTAATTGTCAATTACCAGCTGTTTTTCTTAATAGATTCAGTAGTTCTTGGCACTTCTGTGGTCGCATGTAACTTCACTCAGAGATCAGTATCCTTCACTTTTAAATAAATGCATGTGAATAATTGTTCTTATCAATACAATCCAAGAATAATAAATGACTGCAAATTTCCCCAGAAATCACATTTCTAATTCCAGCTGTATGCGAGTAATTTTAAAATGATTGACCACACCCAAATGTGATTACAGTAATAAAATTTTGTTGGATACATGACACACTAACTAACAACATAGCATAAACAACACTTAATTATATCGTAAATTTTAGAAGACCACTCATCGTCCATCAGTCACCACAATTTCAATTTGAGTATTATTCATCTTTACTAAATGATGTCCATTATTTACAAAGTCTTTTCTCTCTCGAGTGTCCTTTTGATATGAAAACAAAGGCAGACTGCCTATTAATGCTATTGAGGTGCCGCGATTTGAAGCACAAAGCCTATGCGTTAGCACTAAAAGTTAACATAACGAGTTTCTACTGGGTGGGAGATTAGAATGAAATTTATTGATTCCAATTATTGGTCTGAAAAGTGATAAACAATTATATTTGGTATTTGTCATATATACAACACTGCTCTGCCATTGGAAATTGCAATACATGAATTATCTTATTCATTGAAAATGTTACTATTAAATAATTCTGATACGGTGCCTATGTGCTGTAAATTAAATCTGAGATGTAGCCAAGAACATAATATATTTACAAAATCATTCAATATAGAATGCCTAATGTTGAAAAATATTTTACAGCTTAACCAATTTAAAAGCTGCGATGGTTGTTTGATAATCGAGCTTTGCCTGATGTGTTAACAAAATTGGAACTATGCTTGATAAACTTGAAGTGTACTAGTCTAGTCACTTCCAAGCCTTTAGAATTGAAAAGCTATATTTCTGATAAATATTTAATAGTTACTCTGCTATTGAACAGCATTGTATCTAATAATGTCAATATTGATTGACTGTTGTCTCGAAAGAAATTGATTCAATTTCCAAAGCGAACAAAACTTTCCCCCGAGTTATTTCATGACAATAGGACATTAAGGCTGCGAATGTGATAATTATTTAAATTTTTACCAATTGGAGCAAGCAAAGCAATAGGAAAAAGCTAACCTATGCAATCTGCAACACCACGTTTTGTTAGGACTTCCTGTTAATAACAAACCAAGGTTTAAATATTTTTGTTGTACCGGAAGTGTTAATTAGATTGAAGAGTATCAACAAATAACCATGACTTACTAAAAAAAATTTCTTCAAAAACCTAAGCTAGATTTAAAAGTTAAAACACTTGTTAGTAGCTATAATGTCATTCGAATTTTAAACCTAGTAATGCAGTTTCAATGGTAAAGCTTGCATTTTAATTTATAACACATTTTATTTAAAATATTGAAAGTATGATTCGAATCAGAGTAGCATTGCACTACAAGGTTTAAATAGTTCATTACATATAAAATCAATTCATGGTACCTCTTTATGAAACTATGTCATAAATAACATATTATTACCACAGCAGACATGCAGCTTTTAAATTAAATTTACATAATCACTAGAAAATTACGATAGCCAGTCGATTTCTGAGCATATTGATAAATCCGTTAATTTGAGTATTGAACTTCTATATGTGAACTTTCAATCATTATTCATTGGATACATGGAAATAGATATTAGGTAACTATAATCCAGCAATGAATGTTGAAGCGCGTTTGGGAAGAATCGTTTAGTAATGTACTTATTAAATACTGTGTTCATTCTCAAGCACTTCGCACAAGATATATTTAACGCCAATCGACTCATCAACAATTATTTATGTACCTTCAGAAAATAACTTTTTCAACAACAAATATGCATTCAACAAAAGAAAACTTCATTTTGCAGAATTAGGTTTTGGTGGGGTGCAAATGTAATACCAGTCTTAAAGCATTATTAATTGGTTATTATTTTCATAGCAAATGTAAAATGGAAACAACACGATTTGGTCATACTATATGCAAGATGTTTATTGACTTTGGATAAATATAATGAACTAATCAAACCTTGAATTAATAAATCTTGAGCAACGGCTGAGCATGAGTGGGATAATAACATAAAACTAGTATTTTTATTTATGTGCATGAATATAAATTTTACTTATCTCTGAACAAAGTTACAGATGGTTACCGAAATGATAACAGCTACTGAAACAAGATAGAATTATATTTGTACATTAATAAGCACTGCACTAGTAAATGATACAACATAAAAATAAGATTTTCGCTACTGATAAAAAACATAAGCAGAAATTTTATATCACAATATGTTACCAGCACTTTCTCTAAAATGGGACCAGTGTGAGAAAAATGGTATCACCTCTATATTATTTTCTCAAATAAAAAGGACCAAAACACGGAAAAACACTTTTTTTTCGGATGACTCGCTGAAGACTTTTATGCTTACAGGTTAACTTTTCAAATAATGCATGACGCATTTATAACGATAAACCAAATAATCGTCTAGACAACTAATAAACACCAAAGGGTATAAATGGGACTCTAAATTCAAACAAACGCAGTCCTTTTAATTTTAGCGTCATCCAAACTAACCAAAAAAAACAAACAATGAATCATGACATAGACTAGCGTCACCTAAGAAGTAATGAGTAAATCTAAGTAGCCACCATGTTTGTCAGGTTATCATGTTTATCTATATCTATGAAATGACATTAGTAATCCAAATAAGGAATGCAAAAGAAAAGTCTCATGGCTGATGGGTTTATTGTTAAGTATGAAAACTAGAAATCTTATGCTGCAGGGAAAAAACAAATAAGTAGATTTTCATAGCTACTGGAAAGCGTGAAAACAGAAATTTTACACAAAATTAACAACTATCAACAACAATAAACCCTGGTATTAGGATGGCGGTGGATTCACTATAAGGTGGAAATAGTTCGTTAATTTACGAATTGAATAGTATTTGTTACCACAGCAGACAAACAGCTTTGAATTAAATTTACATAATTAAAGAAAAATAGGAGAGTCATTGGTCTACACCTTGAGAAGTAATGAATCAATGGGTCCCAAATAAAAACATGCAATGTTTTAGGAACGGGATCAAAAGTCACAATGACTCCACTTTGAGAGCCAGGTGACGAAAGTGGAAAAATATTGTCTATGCAGGTTTAAATCATACAATAAGAACAGAAAAGGAAATTGAAGAAGGTATTATAGACTGATTTAATTTATTATCGAGAAAGGTACGGCGCGACATGAAGCATCTGCATCCATGCAAGACTTCCTAATTTGGAAGACAAATGAAGTGTTTGTTTAATTGTACCAAATGTCACACATCTTGTAATTCAGTAATCGAAAAACTGTGCCCCACTGCATAAGTTGAGTTCATCATTGCTCGGTATCGGTAGGCAAGTTGAGACTCAGGGACCGTAGGCTGCGAAGCTCACATTCGTGAATATATATGTGTTACTGTCACATATAAAGGTTTTAACTTTTAATATGTTTAAAAATACACATTCAGACATTTAAAAATCCAATATCAGAAAAATTCAAAAATTTACACACACACACACAGTCTGACAGTCCTATAACGTCAGCAGTTTCTAACTTGTGAACTTCGCTCAACGTTACAACAGACAGAACCCAGTTTCGCCTGTCTGTCTGTATAACATGAGAAAAATATGTCACTCATACACATAAAAATGCCTTCTAGAGAATATTAATGTGTTTTTCTCAACATTGTACCCCTAAAAGGATCGAAATTACACTCCTATAGTCTTAAAACATCGTCGTAGGAAATCTAAAAAGACGAACAACACACAAGACCTCTCTGTAGTCAGGTAGGGGTCTCATGTACTTTCTTACCTGACTTACTTCTAGTGGGCGTGGCGTAACAATTTTTAGATGTATGATTCTTGACCCCCACCTGATGACGTCGTCAAAAAATTACATCACTGCGACGTCACAATAACGAAATACAGCTTGCCAAAGTATAGCGACCAGGGCTGCCACTTTTGCCTGACTAAAAACATCTAGATTGACCTCGAAAAACATCTAGAAACATCCAGATTGAAAAATAAAACATCTAGAAAATACATCTAGATATGAAGTCATTGAATTTAATGAAATGTAACCACAATACAGTAATATTAGATGTCGAAGAAGCTAACATCATCACCTAGAATTAAATTCCCACCTGCAGAACTTACAAAAGACCTTGTTCTTATCATCTGAATGGGCAAACCATTCCTTAATAAGCCAATCTTTTCTAAATTTTTGCTGGTAGTGTATACACTTTGGCATTTTGAAAAGTTGATGTTTAAAGAGAGACACATTCAATAGCACTTATAGCAGTGTTTCTCAACCTTTTTGTCTTTGCGGACCCTTTTGGTGCTCTCAAAGCGGTCGCGGACCCCTCAAAAGTTTTATATTTGAAATTTAGTTTATAGCTTAAACAGCAACCTAATGTTCCATACAGATTTAACCAAGTCAAAAATAACACCAAACTAGTGGACATTTCCATTTATTTTGTCAAATCGAATACACTCAATGGGATTTCTGCTATTGCATATCAGAAGCAAGTCTTGAAATACGCGGTCGTGTTTTTGATAAGATAGACGCATATCGCCTTCGACGTTTAGATGGTGACGAGCCTTGGATTTGATATGAACAAGAGCAGAAAATACACTTTCACAAACGCAAGTGGAGGCGAATGGAACAATAACACGTAATCGTCTTCGACGTTTGGTTGGTGACGAGCCTTGAATTTGATATGAACGAGAGCAAAAAATCCACTTTCACAAAGGTAAGGGGAGGCGAATGGAACAATAACACGTAATGCTTCCATCGATACTTATGGGCAGGACGGCAAAATGGCGCACTAAAACGGAGAAAGTGATCACTGTAGATGCGTTCTCGTATTTATCATTGTGCTGTCATAACTTGTATTTGTCACAATAGGTCTACGGGAGATAAATCAAAATAGTTTTTGTAGGCTATTGTCATAGGCAGCAAATGTTCGAGCGTATTACAAAAAAACGATATTAAACTGCAAATAATTTCCTTAAATCTTAATTTAATCGTGGACCCCCGGTTGAGA